AGCACCGGGGAAGGCCATTCCCACGGCACTGCCTTGTTTCACCGGTTTCTCAAGCTGGCAGTCAGTGCGGTCGTGAGGTTGCTTTTTAGGAGGCTCCATCTCCATGCTCTTCCCCCGAGCTGGGGGACATGGCAGTGTCAGAAGAGGTGCTGCGTCCGTGGTGTTGGGAGCGAGGCGAGAAGGCTGCCCCCGCGTCCCCGCGGCCGGGGAGGGCTGCCCACCGGCCCCCCGCACCCCTCTCCCCCGCCAAAGCCAGCATCAGATGCAAACCCGAACGCTTCCTCTTACCCCGGCCTGCCGGGCAGCCCCTCTGATCCCACACACATCACCGGGACCAAAGGAGAACGCTTTCCCGGCGACGTTTTTCCCTTCCTGGTTTTTGTCCACCCACATAACAAACTCCCATCTGAAAATGGCTTTGAGGCTTCCCAGGGGACGGCAGGCTCCTTCTTGGAGCTTGAAAACTGAAGCTGCTTCTGGCTTTGTGTTTTAAAACAGCAATGGGCAAGGGTTTTGTTGGGAAGGACTCTGTCAGCACCTGTCCCCCTCTTCAGCGCTCCCAAGGGCCGGCCCAACAAAGCTCCCCAAACAGGCGCCGGGGGAGCCACGTTTGTTGCTTGCCCCCTTTTTCCCAGCCGGGTTTCAGGGCGTAGCGCTGACGGAGGAACCGGCCCAGGCTCCGACCTCGCAGATGCTGCAGACACGCGAAAGGGGCTGAACGTCCTCTGTACCCAAAGCAGCACCAAGACTGAGGTGAGAAAAGAGAAAAGAGGTGAGAAAAGAGCAACAAAAGCTGTAAGGTAAGTTTATGCAGAAGTGAAGTGCTTGGCAGCATTTAAAACAGACCACTGGAGTCCTGACCCTCAGCACCCCTCTCCAGTCCCAGGAAAACATCCTTTTTCCTCTTCAGGCTGGAATCTTACACAGCCACGGCTTTTTAAATCAACATGCCAGAGTTTTGTCTGTGTTCAAGACCTCATATATCTGTTCCTGTTGTTCTTCGGAAACGGTCAGGAATAACCTGCTGAATACAACCAGGAACCCCCACCTTTGGAGGAAAAGCTTTAGCCCTGCAAATCGGACAAGACTCGCTGGATTGCTTCAGGGATAGAAACTGTTTGTTCTGCGCTCTGCTGCTAAAGCAAAGCTTCACAAATGGCTTAACTGATGGCGGTTGGTCCAAACGTAGTGGGCACAGAGAGCTTCCTCCTGACCCGACACGAGCGTTCCCAGTCCACTCAGACTCCAAAAACTCAAGCCTGGGATCTGCCCACCCTGACTGATTCGTGTCTTAGGAAGGACCTCCGTCCCCACCCTCCTCGATGGCAAACCTTTGCTTCAGGAAGGGCTGGTCTGCACCGTCAGCCCCCTGCCTCAGCCGACAGGGTCACAGGAACACCAAGCAAGCCTGGGTACCACAATGCCCTTCCATCTCAGTCGTGCTTCGGCAGCAACGCAGAGCAAGCTCCCACCAAGACCAGCAAGGCCAGAGCACCGCGTGCCCAGCACAGATAATGACCCGCACACAGCCACCGAGGTCCGGTCACTGCCGCATGGCACCAAGGCATGGAGAAGCCACTGACACCAAAAAGACAGAAAGCTTCTCAGGTACTGGAGCTCAGACCTCCAAGCCTCTTCCAAAATCCGCAGCAGACTCTTGGCTCCGTCCCGTCCCTCGTGAGTCACACGCCCACCTGAAACACCGCGTCCTCTGCCCGTCTGTCAGGACCAGCCGGAGCTGCGTACTGGGCTTCTGTTCCCCGGAGATGTGCAAAGCGAATGTGAGAGTACAGGCTGTAGGGACTGGGGGGAAGCTGTTCCAAAAATGACGAGCAGGGAAGTCTCTGGGCCACAGAGGTGTGGCGGGAGCCAAAGGCCAGCTCTGGAGTTTGTTTATAACTATGTAAAGTGCCTCAGCATCTCTTTGTAAATCATCTCCTGCAATTGCCCAAGTACTCAAGTAAGTTGTTGCAAACATACAAGTGTACCTTTGCTTACACAAATATTTTTACAATGCTTAAAAATCAACCCTGAGAAATATGCTCTAAACATTATCCTTGAAGAGCAGCTGGTCTGCCTGCCTGCCAGAACCACGCGCGGTGGCTGGCGTTGTCCTGACCGACACGGCCTCGCACGGCTCTCCCCTGGGGTGGCACTCGGCTCTGGCACTCGACAGAACCACAGCCTGGGTGGAGGAGAGGATCCAGTGAAGAGGAGCTCTGCAGTTTCTTCTGGAATCAGACTAATCATCCAGTTCAGCCTCCTTTTTTCTGCTAAGAATAAAAACAAGGAAGGGTCACAGACTTAAAAAAAAAGTAGAAACCAGGAAGACCAAATAACTATGTCACTGGGTGAGTAAGGAGCTCAGATACACAGGTTTTGAGATACACGGCCATAAATGGGATGAGTTTGGTTTTTCTCCTGCACAGACCTCCAAACTAGCTAGCCTTTGTGCGAGCTTCAGCATCCGCCACGGCAGGAAGGTGTCAGAGCTGGAGCTCCAGCACAAACGGGGGACAGCCAGCCTGGCCCTGCACAGGGCCACCCCCATGGCCTGGCCACGCTGTGCAACTGCCACGACACGAGCAGAGAAAGCCCCTTCTTTTGCTTCTGGCTGCATGATTCAAAGAACAGAGGAGCTGAGCGGAGCATGATGAGTTGCACCATCCAGGTGTCCTAAGGAATCCGTAAGAGCTGCCTCAGTCAGCCTAAGTAATCGATACTGTCACCAGCAACCTTCACTCTTTCTGGTCCACGAGGCCCCTCAGAGCAGAGTGGGCTTCGAGTCCGGACACGCTTTGTTCATCCCTGAGCAGCTCTTCAGGCAGGGCCTTCTGGTCCCTGTCCCGCCTGGTACTGGTGTGGCTCTGAGGGAACCCAACAGGACTCTTGCGAGCCACGCTCAAGAGGCAGGCTGGCCACAACACAAGGAACTCCTACGCCTCGGTGGACCTGCAATGGGTTTACACCGATAAACAGAGCAGTCGCTGGCCTACGTGATGTAAGAGTGGGGGAGCCTGACCCTCCCCTTGCTTTCTGGGGGCAGAAACCAGCTCCTCGCAGGATACTTCTGTTCCCCCTGGTGTCACACCTGTAGGCTTAGTGCTTTGCTTATCGCAGGCGCCAGAAACGGACCAAATCCCCAACGACCTTCCCCAGCCTAGGACACAGGGCTCTGCGGAAGAAACGTGGGAAGTAGCACGGCCACAATCACCAGAAATCACCCTTTATGGAGGCAGCATATATCCTGATGTCACTTGAGCTCACCTTGTTACCCCGTCTGTCCCTTTAATGCCATTACTGAAGATCATTACATGAGCAGATGCCCTCTGGAGAGGCAGCTGCTTGGGCTGCCCACACACCTACCTCTCGGGTCCAGAATATACGACCTCCAGTGGTGGACACAGCTGCTTCCGAATATACTCCCTCGATCTTATATCAGCCTGGAATTAAGGAGGAAAATGAGTGAAAATGGATTGACCAGCCTGCTTGCTGTCTCCCCTTTGTTATCTCAGTACGCCCCTGCACACCCTGATGTCAGTGCATCACAAATCGCTTTTGCACGGCTGTGTTTGCAAAGAGGAACCTGCATGTTTCTTTCCTTGTTTGGTTTCTGTGCCTCACTGCAAGCTGCTTGGGAGAATGAAGACTTAAAATGAGGAAATAGAGGGTCCTGGACCCAACAGCTGTACTGGAGTACAGCCCATGCCAGAAGCAGAAATGACATTCGCTGAACCCTTGCTCTCTGCCCCTTTAATTCTCCTAGGAGTAAGGAGGTGAGACGTTGGGCACAGACAGTTCCTGCCAGCCAGCGCCTAAGGTCTGCTCAGCCCTGACCTACCCCAAGCGCAGCAGGATGAACAGCCAAAGTAGGACCCAACTGGGCTTCCCCAGCAAATCCCGGCTGCAGCCGAGTGCCATCAGCCTTCACCACGGCTCCCTGTGGGACCCAGAGGATGAACTAGCACAGGCGCCCAGCACACGCTGCGGTGCCGTGAGCCTTCCTGCAGCAAGCGCCGACCCAGCGGGAACCCCTCGCCTTACACCTACACTGAGTGGCTCCGACCATGCCCTCCTCATCGTCCGGGGATGTGACAGGCCAGCAAGGATTTCCAGAGGCTTAAGAAGAAGAGGAGTTCACTGGCAAAGGGAGAGTTGCTGAGGCGATGGGCTGCTTTTCCATTGTGCCTTATGTCTACGCCAGAACTGCAACCCCTCCTTGATGAACCCTGGCAGCAGAGCCAGAATGGAGGAGACCTGGGAGTCTGAGAGCAGTCTAGTGCCTTTATCCTTTCAACCAACCCGAATGACTTTTTCCACATGTAGACACCTCCAAATGCAAAGCAGGAAAATGTAATGAGCAGCTAAGGTCCTTCACAGGCCTTCCCCAGCAATAGCTCATCACTACCTGATGAGAGATGGAGTAGACTTGTTAGCACCTTGAGGGCAGGGTAAGTCTTCCTTCCCTGCAGAGGAGATATTCCAAAAAGTAAACCAGCTCGCCCATTGAACCAACAGAGGCTGCTCCACCACCCTCACTCCATAAAGAGTTCACATGTCACGATCACCTGCAGGGCTCCATAGTGCTGAGGAGTTCCTGTGCATCAGCAAAATGCTCGCAGATAAAGATGCCCAAAACAAACGACTCCCCTTCAGCCTAGGACTCTGTCCGCTCTCCTCTTTCTTGGGATCTTCTTCATCCCTTTTGCTCAAAGCTATCAAAATCCTTCGGCCTACACTGATGTACAAAAGCGGTATGTCCCCTGGCCCCCAGAGGAGCGTCAAAACCATATGGACGTGAAAGCAGATCTCTGCAGCATGGCAAGGCAATTTAGCATGAGACAGTGACTCACAGATCCCTCCTCAGAAGGTGGGGAACTACTGGAGCATTTTATTGACTTGTCCGAGAGCAGCAGAACGTCCCACGGACTCTGCTGCGATAACCTTCACTGTACCCTCAGCGAGACAGAAGCTGCGTCCCAGGACTACGCTAACAGGGACTCCCACCGGCACTGCAAGCCGGTGCAGGCGGCAGCCCTCAGGCTCACAGCACTCCGAGATCATCCACGCTCTTCATAGCTGTGACACTGTGCTGTTCCCAAAGGATTAGCGTTTCTGGTCACTGATCCGCTGAGAAATGGGACTCTGCCCTCCACAGGAGTCTGTAAATTGCAAGGGGGAACAAGGCTATGGAGAGGGCTGTGAAGAGTTTGGGAATGTGGCAATCCAGCAGGCGAGTTCTCAAGAGGCCATGGGATGAAAAGAGAGAAGCTGGCATTGCCCATTCTTGTACCCATCCCTTTCCTTCCTCTGTTCCAGCAGTTGTATGATGCAGCAACAGATGGAGGAGCGCACCGCTCGTCTGCTGCATATCCTCTTCACTCGGCAAGAGCTTGGCTCGGCCTGCCTGTGCACCTGACGGGCTGGCTGTGCGATGGTAATTATGCAGCTAAAGCAGGTAAAAACACCCACGAAAAGCAGAGACAAGACACCAGCACATCCTTGGCTCTATCGCTTCCTGGCAGCGGTTGCAAGGCAAGTGACTGACACCCCTTCCACTCTGTCCTACCTCACGAGTCCAAAGGTAACGCCCTCAAGGAAGACAATGCCAGGCTGTATCCGTGCTCGGGGCTCTGCCTTCCAGTACCAAAATCAAAAGGAGCAACGTTGAGACTCTACCAAACTCATGGTTTACTGCCCTCCTCGCTTGAAATGGAGCTTGGAGCCATCACCAAACCTAATCAAACCCATCCTCATGCAAGTGTCCAGTTCCTCCTTTCCTCTTCTGATACACTCGCCTGTGACATGAGCCCTCCTGAGCTCACCAGGAAAACTAGACTGCTGTGTCTCATCAGCAATGCAGGATAGCATGTGGTCAGAGTGGGGCAAGGAGAACACCAACGGAAATCCCAAGAGCTGCAGAAAGCGCTGCTGGACCTTTACTGGATGTTCTTGTCCCCCAGAAGTGTTATTGTCCAGCTTTCCAGTGCTGCACAGAACTACCAGAAGACTCTTAGATGCTATCACAAGCATGCAGATCCTGGGCTCTTGAACAACTTAGAACCGGCAGTTGATTTTTACATTCCCTCAAAGTTTTTTTCTTTTTTAGAAACTTCCTTTCTCAAAAGCACTGCTACGCCGTGACATTTCAGCACAGCTGCTCTGCCCCACCTCAAAGGCAGAGTGTCTTTCTCCACTTAAAAAGCAGTATGCGACCTTCCCAGCTGGAAAAGCTTCACAGCATATGATGATCATGCTAATAAAGTGGGTTAACGCATCCCCAGTGGCTGTCCTTGAAGCCTTTGCTGCTCTCATCGCTGTTCTACTTCTGAAGAGTCTCTCCCGCCCCTCAAGAAGCTCCCAACCACCCCTCCATCCCTGCCGCTCCTCGTCAGACCTCTCAGGTGGAGGCTCTGCTTGCTTACTGCTGGAAAAGCAGCTCCACAAATGCTTAACAATTCTGCAAGCTCGAGGATGAAAAATAGTTACATAAGGGGCGGTTTGTTTGGGAGATTTTTTTCCCTTCTCTCTGTAATTGGACAGTTTCATAACCGAACTGACAAATAACTTTGATCACTCTTCAGGATAAGAGATTACGTGATGTATTTTATAACAAGGGAAGGAGGTTGTTCAATAGAGTCCCCACAGGGAGGCCAAGGTAGCAAGAGTCACATCTACAAACTATTTTTCTAGGGAAGAAAAACCCCCACCATGTTCTGCTGATAATATAAGCTAATGCTCGATTAGGTGGCAAGTTACTGGCCGGTCCTCACTCCTAACGCAGTGCTGAGAGACAGCTTAACCCAGCGTATTAACCAAGAGGCTAATCAATAAGATGGATAACTGTCCCGTAATAATCCTCGCAGATTGTTTCTATTTTCAGAGGGGACTAGTGCTGGCATTAGGGTCTGGAATTGTTGCTTTGCCTTTTTACGAGGGGCAGTGGTGATCCCCAGGCACACAGCAAGCTTGCAGCAGGGGTACCTCTGAAGGGAGGTCAGAGGTTCAGGATATCAGCTACGGATTTCCCTGTTGGGCAGCAGGAGCTGTTCCCACAGAGGAGAGGGATGACGGCTTACTTCCCAGCTCTCCTAAGGGCAAGCATTTAATATTTCACAAGAAGTGACCTGCAGAAATGCACAGCTCTGGGCAGGCCTACTTCTGTCCTTCTTGGTGGGCTGGAGCAACATCAGGCTGTCCCGTCGGCCACGTCCTGAGCCAGGAGGAACCAGCTGGGCAAGGGGCCAGCCGGAGCTGAAAGGCTCGCCGAGTGAGCTGGGGGCTGGGGTGCAGCCAGCCAGGAACCTGCAGCAGCCAGAGCAGAAGAATCAGTCCCAGTGCAAGCCTCGTCAGCTGGAGAGGGTTAAAAGCTTCTGTTCCCCCGCCGTGCACGGGGATCCTGGGTCTGCGCAGGCTGGGAGCGTGGGCAAACACTGGAGAGGGGTTCTGACCTCTGCCAGGAGCAGGCAAGGGCAGTTGCTCTCAGGAGGGCTTGGTATTGTTCCAGTGCCCCTCAGTTTGAACGCTTTGCTTATTATTCTGGGATATAATAGCAATTATATATATCCCAATATATAATAGCAATAGGATATTCTCCTGCCTACCTCAATCCCTGTCTGGGTAGCTCCAAACAATCAGCTCTCTGCAGAAGAACCTCAAAGCCTCACAAGCTGGCTGGGCAGAGAGATCACCCCCATGCAAGCAAAATTCTCCCAGATCGGCCTTGCACTTACAGGTGGAATAAGGACTAGGTGGGGATGTCACTACTGATTGTAGGTGATAATGAACTTCTCTCTGCTTTCTCTGAAAGACCACTTCTCTCACCGGCATCACAGCCACAGTTCCTTTGGCAGCATGACCACATCGTGGGCTGAATGCAAACCAAACTGTTTCTGATCACTGCCTAGATGGTGGTGTGCACCCAAGGAGCACAGCATACCCTATACAGACGGGCCAGCCACACCTCTGGGGAAGTAGAAGGTTTAGGTTCCCACAAGAGTTGCACAGCACTACACGTGCTGCAGCACAGTACTGCCTCCAGACAAGCCATAAACACAGCCTCAAGAAGGTATGGGCGGCTGAGTGCTCTTACAAGCATTATACTCCTAGGGCTACCAGAACGTACAAACTAAGAGCTAACGATCCAGAAGTCTTTCACATCACTGGGAAAGCCAGAAGCACATCACCCATCAGGCCTGCATGCTTGTTCTGGGGACATACCCTAGCAAAAAGGCCAAGTCAGTCATCCACGGCAGGATTCCCCACAGCCTTCTACTTCCTAACTCCAGCTTTAGGTGCTCAAGAGCTGAGGCTTCCAGCACTGCCCTGTGTCAAGATCCGTGACAGTTACCACAGAGAGGAACTGCGACAGGGAGAAGTCCCATGGAAAGGTTTAAGTGTCCTTATCTCCTGCCATCCCTTTACTGCTACAGTAAACACACTCCCTTTTGGATTTTTAATCTCTCCGTAAGAAAAGCGACAACAATTGATTCCATCACTTTAAATAAAGGTCGTAGTTAGAGAACTGGAAGAGTCTCAGAACAAATACCGGAGATAGCTGGAAATGAAACGAGGGTGATGAAAAGCTCCAAGACACCTTTTTGTTTCCAAAGGGAATGCTTTTCCCCTCTCCCCTGAACATGCCGAACTGCAGAGCTAGCTCAGAGCTCTGCGGAGGCATCTGTCCCTTGCTGGAAGAGATTACGTAAGGAGATCTCAGCCTACTCCCGTCTGGCAGGTAGTGGTTTATGAGATCAGAAACTCCGGCTCTGGTATGGACGCTTCAAGGTTTGTTTTGCTCTAAGGCAGTGGATTTTTGTCTGGTTTATAACTACAGACTCGAGACTCCATTTTCAGAAAACACTGCAGTACCGACGGGAAGCTCCTGTGTGCAGAGACTGCGAAACAGCCCTCAGCAGGATCACCTTAGCGCTGCTCCGAGGAGCCGCAGAGCAAAGGTGGTCAGACACCGGACAAGCGCGGCGGTGCGGCCGTGCCAATGGCGTGTTCCAGGGCATCGCTACGAACGAGGACATCTGAACGGGCCCTGCTCCCTGGGCAGTCGCTGGGTCTGGGCTGCCTGGGCCATGAACGGCAGGGTGACCCTGAGAGAAGGGAAGCACTTGTCAGGCTAGAAGTCCCAGAGGCTTTACACTTCTCCAGATCCCTTCCTCAAGCCCTGCTGTGACTTAACGAGTCTGAAGCCGAGCCTTGGTGGGAGCTGCGGCTCACTGAGGGCGATCCGGTACTGTCACCTGCTGGCTGGCTGCCGCCCCAGAGCCTGCAGCAGCAGGGAAAAGCCCAGGGGATCAGCACTGCAGTCTGTGCTAGGCTCAAAGCGCCCAGGAAAACTGCATTTCCAGCTTCTGTGTATTAACATCAGCATCACAGAAGATGCCTGCAGAGAAGAACCAAGAAATCAGTCAGGCTGGGTCTGCAGTAAGGGCTGTGTGTGCTTCCAGGCACTGCGTCAGAAGAACAAGCAAGGAAGAAGGAAGGATCGGTGCACTACCACGTAAACAACCACACAACAGGATGGGGAGAACAGGCCGGCAAGAAGGGTGCCGGCTGCAGAACCGTCAGCTGCAGAACCGTCAGCTCCAGACGAGTGGCAAACTGAGGCTCTGAAACTTTGCCACAGGCTTGGCATCCACAGCCCCCTCCGCACCTCAGGCTTGGCATCCACAGCCCCCTCCGCTGCCCGCTTGCCTGCTCCAGGCCTGCCTTCCCCTTCCTCAGCTCCCCTGCTTTTGTACCTGACGGATGGGCTCCGGGATCCGGTACCTGCAGCAGGACTTGACTAGGCGCACGGCTGTCTCCAGGCACACCCTGTGGCCCACAGAGATATAAAGCGGCTTAGAGCTGTTGTTGTAGCTACGCAGGACCTGTACATTCAGAAACAAGAAAGATCAAATACTTAAGAGGCTTATTTTAGCAAATACAGAGTGGCAGATGAATTATAAGCTAGCCAGTTGCCTTCGGAAGGTGGGATGGTGGCTCTGTATTTGGCAACTCCCAGCCTTCTTGAACCTCTTCTGCTTCCCAGTATGTCCTCGTAGGGACTGTTTGCCCTTTTGGACCCCTGTGGCCCTTCCCCAAATGCCTGACGCTGCTCTGGGAAGCAGTGAGACTTGCTAATGCAGACTATGTTGAAATAACACCAGATGCAGGAAGTTTTTTACATCTGCCCGTTTCCTGTGCAGCACTCTTCTGAGTCAGACGCTCCATATTGCATCCTGGTAAGCTGCTACAGAACTGGCACCTCTCCTTGACTGTGGTTCACAAACCAGGGTGCTGGAGCATGGCGCCTCAGATGCCACAGCCGTGGACGTGAATATATCCCACACCTGAACTGTCAACTCTTCCTACAAATGCCCGAGCTGACAGCCAGGGGAAAGCAGTGTTACTGGTCACCTGTTTACACCGTGCCTTCCTAATATCACCGAGGCAGTCCCACTATAAAGACAACATCCTCCAGCGTGCCCAGATACACAAAGCTGGAAGACTTGATGGCCAAGCGAACAAGAAACTCCCCACAGCTTACCATGCCTAGGACTCTCCCCGAGGTGCCTGTCAGTGGGAACGTATCTCCTCCCCTCTGCAGGGAACGGATCTAGGGATAAACACACACAAGGTCAGTTGTTTAGGAGGTATTTGTAGGCAGCTGTCCCAGCTCTTTTGGGATATTAAGGAGTGGAAATAAATTCCCAGCCTGGCCTAACCTGCTCTCTGTGCAGCTCATCCCTGGCCAAGCCATCCACCTGCAGGAGGTTCTTGGCCACTCCAACGCACGGCAGATCCGTCAGGACTCCGAGGTGGCAGGCCACACCAAATCCTGCCAACAACGAGTCACTGTAACTGCAGGACACCACAGAATAGGAATCCCGAGCAGCAGCATGGGGACCCTGCAGAGCAGGGCTCTCCAGTAAAGTCCTACCTCTGGGATGGAGCAGGCCATTCCCATCTACAAGAAGTACCTGAAAAAAGCCCAAAAAGAAATGTTACTTCCCATGCACTGAGAGCCACTCCAATAAGCAAATGGTGCTGGCCCTGCGAGGAAGGACAAGTCTCTCTCAGTCCTTTTACTTCTCTCTACAAGGGTCTTCTTGCAGCCTACACCTGACTCTAAATGATCATCGGCGTGAGCTCTTAGCGGCTGGCAGCGCTCTTCACTGCCGCTGCACACAGAACGGGACTCCCGTTGCCAAGGGAGGCCTGGCTGTTCTTGGCTTAGCATCCATGGTCCCTAACGAAAGGGCAACAGATGCTCCAGTACTACTTTGACATCGCACTTTCCGCCCCACCAGTGGAAAACAGCCAGACAGTGCAGGCTCAGGAGAGGGAGGAACGCTTTTCAGCAGTACTCTGCACCCCCGTAACATCTCAACTCGGGACAAAGAAATACGCCACACCTGAGGTTTGAGGCTGGGCTCCTCCTGAAAAAATCCACCAGGAAAGGGACCTCTCGGAAGGCTAAGAATCCTGCCACGTACGGGGCACGCACAGCCACCATCCGGCAATCCTCATACAGCACCTGGGAGCAGTGCGACAGCGCAGAGACAACGACCTCCAGGACTTTGCTGGTTGAGTCCTGACTGTCCCAGAGGCATCTCCTCTGGTTCATGTCCCTTACTCTCTTTTTTAAAATACTCTGCTTCTGGATCTCTCCCACAAAGCTAAGGCTGTTGGGTCGTGTCAGTCTCTCACTCAGAGAAGGGGGTGGATAACAGATTGCTGAGAGAAGAGGGCTGAACACCACCTACCATACCCTGCTTGGGAGTGAAGTCCTTGAAACAAAACTAGGGCGGGCATTCAAGCCCACAGCGGGGGACTCCAAAGTTCACCCCGACAGAGCATTATCAAAGGGTGGCTGCCTCTACGCAGCGACAGGCCAAAAGAAACCCTGGGAGACAGGACAAACTAACGATTGTGGGGGGCAAGTCAAGAATCAAGGCAGGATTTGAAACTCAGTTAATAAAAGTCCCAGCGGCCACTATCAAACTTTATTTCTCTGTCATAGGTTTTATAGTTAAAGATAATTTTATATCATTTTGAAAGCTGGGAAAGAGACCAAAAATCTTTATTAATTCAAGTAAAATGACTGTGGGATGTGGGATTCATGGTGTTTTTGAAAAGACTTTTTTATACGTTACATCCCACGTTATTCGTTGATTCTCAGCAAGAACTCACAAACAAGACATCTGCTGTGTGAGTGCTACAAATGCTTTAATTTCCTCTCCTGATCAGCACTGAATAACAACGGTCCTTTCTGTCTCCTTCTGGGTACTGGCTGAGACTGCTTGTGTTCAGTATACACCTCAACCAGAAACAGACTTCTGTGCCTGACCACGCACTACATCTCATCATGGTATTTTCTGATTCACCCACTAACTCGAATGCATGCTAAACCTACCCCCCAATGCCTTATAAATTCCCAGTAATCCTGCGAATCTCTTGCAATTAGGAGCAGTTTGCATCGCATCTTCCAAAACTGATGTATAAATCCTTCCGCATATTTTTTTCCTCTGTTTATCTTTCTTGCAGAAATTACGGTTGGAGGCTTTGTTGAATGTACACACGATAACTTACGGGTGTCCTGTGTGGCAGAGGCACACGGCCTTTGTGTAAGGTTTCTATAAAACTCCTCGTGTTATCGCACACCTGGACACAACCCTAAGGACAGGAGTTGGTCACTTGCCGTTACCTCAAGAGCTGGGTAGCTGAGAACGACCAGGGAAGCGCAGGCGCTGGTGTCATCCCCTTTGATATAAGATAAGTCCACACCTCCCACTCTCTTCAGTCCCGTAAAACTTGAATCTTTTTGCCACTCCTCGGTGTCCTCCTCAACCACGCTGGCTTTTAACTGGGCCTGCTCTCTAGCGAAAGACCACACAGCCGCAGTGAAAGGGGTGCCCCTTCCTCCCCG